TCGGTGAGTAACTGTCAACAGATGAACAACGAAATTCACTAGCTTTTATTTACAAGTGCTGCTATCTTCACGTTGAGGTCGGAAACTTTTCAGACCACCCTCGTACGTAATTTTTCTCTTTCTCGTCTAATTAAATGCGGCGCTGAATAAAGATAATCAAGAATAGAGTAGATCGCGTCGTCGCGCATTTTAACATGTTCTTAAACATACTCTCGAGCACGTAGATACTTTCTAATGGACTCGCTTTTGCTAATAAACGATCAGAAAAAGCGCTTGTTTACCGCATCGCCGGCAGCTGCAACGTAACGATGTAAACAGACTAAAAAAGTCGGATGTTTGGAGGAGTGAACGAGTAAGCGCGAAATAAATTCTTCCTCGGAACACGATAGAATGTTCCGCGATTAATTTTGACGATTAATGAACAACAGTTACGAGAGAGCTCTGTTAGTCTTCCTTATCGCGAGACTCTGCCCCATTTAGGGGTATCAAGACTTTATTGATCAAACGCAATATCTCTTACGCAGCTTGACTGTGTTCCTGTCGGTAATTTTAAGTTTCTGTTTAAAGCGGTTTAAAAAGTTCCGTAGCCCGGTACTTTTATTAAATGGAAGTTATGAAAATCGACGCGCGGGGCACGAGCGCGACGCGAAGCTACAGCCGGAGGGCGATGTTCGCGTCCACCGACATTCCGTTCGCGTCTGCTGCAGCGCAACGCTGCAGTAATTAATTACTATAATTTCTGCTCGTCCCGCGTGCACGGTTTGCAGCTCACATGATGATTACGGGCCTGTCGATGTATCCGTTTCTGGTCAAAGTGGCCGTCAGAATGTCGCCCATTGCGTATCACTGAAATCGGCTTCACCAAATCAGTTGCAGTGAATTAGGTTCGGGTGTACAACGATTAAATCCCGGTACCGAGACAGATTGACGCTCTCGATCTCGATGGTGGAGTTTTGGTACATGTGCCGTATACAGATACCGCTTTGTTACAATGCGCAATATTCAGGTCTCCATGTTCTATTCGTTTGTCATTTGACTTTGTCTTTTTTCGTTGTAATTATTTCCGCGGCATTCGATTTTAACCCTTACTGTAATAAGTATTTTCAGTACATTAATAGTGAACAGGGTTGTCACACTTATGTCCGACGCATTTTTTTTGTCGATTTAAAATTATTGAAAAATTTTGGAACAATTTATCTGGCTTCTTTTAAGCCTTAACTAATAGATTATGAAGTCATTAAAAAAGATGAAGTTGTATACAATTATTTTTTTAGAAAAATCTTATGAAAAACTTACTTCGTTGAAAAAATCATAATTTTTGTAATTCCTCTTGAAAAGAAAAAAATCCAAGGTTTTATATTTTAGACTACAATAATTAATAGAGAAATGGTTTAATTATAACATTTCTTAAAAAAGTCGTATTATTTTGGCATTTAAAAATAGCATATTTTTATATGAGAAAATAAGGTTAAATAACATAAAACATTTTTACAAAAGTATTATACAAAAGTAAAAAAAGGAATAAAAACACAAGAAATAAGAAAGAAACATCTACAAAAACTTCGTTAATTATTCCCCTGTTTGTCCACTTTAATGGCTTTGTAGAAATTTAAAAATACCACATTAGTTAAATACGTTAAAATCGCTTGAAAAATTATTAAAATATACAATATATAAAAATAAACAAATGTTCACTCACCTACATGACAAGTATATATTGAATGAATAAGAAGAGTCGCTTGTGCCTAAGATCGATTTACTTTGGTTGCTATTCAGACAGTGACTGACGAATCTCACTCCTGAGTGTCAGGTGTCCTTATTATATTTACTTTTCCTCTAGAGTACATATGATACCTTAGAAAGAGCCCGGCCAAGTCCCAGCGGTGCATGTTCCCCAAAATGGGGCGGTTGAATTTAGGGTCGAATGGAAGAAGAAGTTATAGATCTGGACGAGCTGAAAACGAAATGGTTTTTTACGTTGCACTAACACACTGTTCTCGAGATATCCGGTCCGGAAGTCCAGGTGATCAATTATGGATTTTTAAACTTTATGGTCATTTCAATGACTTTTGTCAATTTTTAAATTAATAATGGGAATATACACTATAATCTCCACAGTATTAGCTTTAAAATGAACCATAGATCATTAGAATCGGATAAGTTTTCGCTGAGATATCGCAATTTTTGTCAAGTAAAGTCAATGAATGTACTAAAGGTTTTTTGAAAGTCAATATTGAATTTTTATAAATGTTTTAACCCTTTATGTCGAAAATCAGTCGAAAAAGTGAAAAATCTTTAATGAAAAAATGAATTTTCAAATATCTAGTGTTTGAAGCGCCTCCATTCGGCCATTTCAGCTGGCAAATAAAAAATGTTTTTAAATTGTTTTGAGGGAATCTACTAAGCTTCATTTTAAGCCATTAATCACATTTTTAGGATTTGAAATAACCATTTGGCAGCCATCTGTAGCAATTAAAATTTAAAAATCCATAATTGGCCACGTGGACTTCCGGATCGGATATCTCGAGAACGGTGTGTCAGTGCAACATAAAAAGCACCATTTCGTTTTCAGCTCGTCCAGATCTACAACTTCTTCTCCCATTCGACCCCAAATTCAACCGCCCCATTTTGCGGAATATTTTGGCCGAGCTCTTTCGGGGTAAGGTTAAATGCAAAGTCATTAAAAGTGGCCGAACATGAATGATCTTTCTATTTACTTTAAGGTTTATCATCCGATGTATATGGTTCGACCTTTCATTAAATTTCATATTGTCTGTTCACACCGTACAGAATTTTTTGCTTTGATGTTTCATACACAACGTAGAGAGGGAACATAGAGTAGTTTCTAATATTTGGTCCTCTCTCATCTCCATCCTTAATCTCGACGTTGTATCGGAGGAAGGTTTCTTTGTGATATGACCTGCTCTTAAAGGAGGCTCTCGCGGGTCGTGGCGTCTTGTTTGTTATCGGGAAATGTAAGTGTCACTGCCTCTAGATTACCCAAGTCGTTACAGATAGGTCGCGCCATAGAACACGGACAGATCAACGAGACCGTAACCACCGTGGATAATGGACGATGGTTAATCGAGGTGATTACGCGACTTAAAGGCTTTACGATTAAGACACAATGGCGTGACATGCGCCTCGGACACAGATAGCCAAGACATAGATTCGATAAGCATCGTGCAATCCCTACTAACTCCAACTCTCCCCATCGATATATCATACTCACCTGAAGGTAGGCGAGATGTAGGTGGGGATCAGCTAGAACTGTTTGATCCTTCGGCTCATTCACAGTCAGTATCGTTCGATTCGTCGCTCTTAAATAAGCGAACGCGAAGTCGCTACATGCCGATAATTACGAAGGATCGGCCTTTCGGGAAATAGGAATACCTGGGTTGAAACGGTACTCAGGTACGTTGCGATATGAGAATAAACAGTACGGTAATTGTCATCTCGATTAAAATATTTTCTGTATATAAATTGAACAAAGTTAAATCATCAAAATAAATTAAATCGTCTCTTCTTTCCGCATGTTATTCATCTATAACCTAACATTCAGAAGATTTTAAATATTTTTTATATTTGAACTCAATATTTATATGTATATATATATATATATATATATATATATATATATATATATAATTTATGTACAATATTTTAATAATAATTTTAAATATTTTAATAATATATAATTTTAAATATATTATCTAATATTTAAAAAAAGAGAATATCACAAAAAAGACATCTTGCGATGATAATTTATCTATAATTCAATACTCAAAAAATTTTTGTACTAAAAAAATTAAAGTATTTTTTAATCTTTTTTTATATTTAATTCTAATATTTAATTCATGTCTAACATTTTTAATAGTTTTACTATTTAAAATCTGTCATTTCAATTTAAAATAAAATAAAATATTAAGAAAAAAGATATCATCTTGCAGCACTAATTTATATTTATAATCTAATATATTCTAATAGATCTTTAATATCTTATATATTTTCCAGTTATTTTCTTATATATTTTTAATACTTTTAAATCTCTCATTCCTAATATTTTTAATATCTCTATAATAATTCAAATCTGTATATAATAATTATAATAATTCTAATTATATAATAATTATATAATATTATAATAATTCTAATTTAATACTGAAAAAATGGTAAAATTAAAAGAATGATAACCATAACTTGTGACGTTTATTCGTTCTTGAGATGAATCAAGTGATCACGCGTGGAGGCACGTGCTCAAAGCCAGTACGCGAAAATATATTGGACGGGGGCTACATTTCTTGTAATTTATGATAGGTTTCGTTGAAACCAGTTGGGAGCGATTGTAATCTAACTACATGATATCTCTGCTTTACTCGAAGCGTGTAGAATATTTAATCGTCGTATTGTCGTCAGTAAGCTCCGCTCAATGGAGTTACGTGGTTGCGCTCGACAGTGGCAGAAGAGTGAAAATGACAACATGATGTGACGGAGACAAATTGAACTGCACCGCATAGATACGCGACCGCGTAAAGCACAAGACTGTGCTCGTTTTTGCACATTAAAGTGTGCTTTAACTGTGACTTTATCGCGATATCAGATAAATTATTGCCACGATGTTATTCGATTATTGTTATTATTTAGTATAATTTTACAGTCTTGATTTAGTATAATTTTACAGTCTTACAGTAAAGAGGACAACAAAACGATTATCGACCGCTCCGCCACTATTTTATCGTTTAGATCGATATTGAGTGTCATTTAGTATGTCTGATTAACACCTTGGAAATGTGACTTGTTTTTCATGATCACGCGCGTCTGGCGAGAATATTCATAATTTTCCGTCTGGTTACCGGTTATGCTAATTCCGTGGAAATAATTTTTTTACGAAATGCATGCCAACTTCCTCCTTCACATTACGCTACATTTCCGTTTGCGAAATGAGATCTATAATCGTTACTTGCAAACAATCGTGACATCATAACATGCGAGATTTAAAGGTCTCCACGAATATATATAAGAAAGAAGGAAAAAAACATAAGTAATATATATAAGAAAGTTAATTCAATAATTAATAATAAAAATCTATTAATTCGGAAGTATTAATTTGCAGTCGTGTGTTTGAATATTTTTGATGAAGTAGCTCGAGTACTTGAATTTTCAATCGCATGAATTGAAGGTTTCTATTTCCTCGCCGAAGTCATCTTGATTAATGAAGCAAGAAAATATATGTCCAAAATTCTTGCGAAACATATTGAAATAAAAGAAGATATCCATAAAATGACACTTGCGATCGATTAAACAAATACTTCGAAAATTTCCTTTTTATTCAACAATCTACAAATAACAGTAAAATTAACATGACAAAATCATAAAAAAAGATAAATGGAAAAGGAAGCATGTCACGTTAATTTTATGGTTACTTATTGATCATTGGAGCAAAAGAGTTCTCAGAATATTTTATGTATTCAATCGATTCTTAGTGTCACTTTATAAATACATTCTTTAATTTCCATATATTTTCTAAGAATTTTAGACATATATTTTCTCACTTTTGACGTTATCAATTAAAAGTTCCGCCCAAAGAACCGAAAGCCTTAAATATTCTACTTTAAAACTCTACTTTTAAGCTCTCTTTCTCTAGTGTTAATTTATTGTACATTTAATTTTAATTTGGTTTTAACTTCTTTTTACTTTTATTGTTCTACTTTTTCGTAATATGAAATATAAAATCGTCAACTATCGCAATGCTAAAAATATCTTAAAGGGTCAAGCATGTGTGTAACGCCCGCGACTGAGGACATTCGTGCCAGTGCACAGTTTTGTTTCTACGTTACAGATTTTTCGTCAGAGTCCATTCGCGCAACGCATGACGTTTTGCCGATAAATCTGTTTCGCGTCGTTGTGTGCATCCATTTTTGAATGATAGGGTCTCCGCCCCAATCGATGTCTTATATATTCCGAACAGCGTTCGCGATCGGAATGGAAATTGTATCAGGTGCGATTAAGGTGCGTGAAAGGAGCAACGATACCCGTTTCCAAGGACAGATTGTCTATCGATGCCGGGGGAATCGTGTATCTCGGCGCGACGCCGAACAGAAAATGGTTATGCAATCCCATTGGCTATGTTCGCGGATTGGGAATTTTTTGTTGTCACGTTCCTGTATAAAATGTCGTATCTAAGCGGCGAACGAAAAGAGATATCCCGGGATGAAGTAGCATAAAATCCTCGGGCGGAGCAGAGCGGAATAAAAATTTCGAAGATCGTCTATAGCTCAGGCACCTTCCTGTCTCCCCTCCTCGCATTAATCCCGGGCGTATTATACCGGCACGTGTCGAATAACTGTCGTCTGCAATTCAAACAACGATCGCAGGCGGAAAATGCGCAAGTAATCAGCAGAAGTGTCCGTGGGTTCATAAAACAATATTGATTTATCATATATTAAAGTACAATGCTGCGTGTATATCCCGTTTCCTCGTTTGCTGATTACCTTGAAATCGTTACTGATTCACGCGAATCGCATGGTCGGTTACCATTATGAGAATAAATCTGAATATTCAGTTCCAATTTTAATTTCACAATGTCCGTAATCGCTTACCGATCCTCTTCGACGAGAATTGCGATCAAGATAACGAAGCCTATTAATTCAGACGGTTTGAGATAAGCATTGCAAATAAAAGTAAAAAAAGAGAAAAATACTGAAATGATAATCTCGGTCGCAAATCACGTCTAATATAAAATACGTCTAATAACACGCGCCCGTGCACACGCTTCAATGACAATAATTATGATCATTAGATTTCTTTTGCGTTTCTCAGAAAGAACAAGCGGCACTCAATCGAAATCGATACAGCCGAACATCCGCGCACTTTTGGAGATGAACGCGTGAGACGAAACAAGGAACACAGAAGTGTAGTCTCAGTGAGTGCCTATAAGCGGCTGAGCGCGCATCTCCGACGAAAATTTATATCGCGCATCGACCGACATCGTGAGACATGACGGTCGAAATTGAAATACCTAGACAACCCGTGAAAGTGCCGAGTCCCAGTTTCAAGCCGTCCGAACGATGGCGGATCATGCGGAACATCCTGACGATTAGCTGCGCTTTCATGGTGAATTTCACCGCGTTTATGGGAGCATCGAACTTGCAGAGTTCGATTAACGCCGATCAGTCGCTGGGCACGTTCACGCTGTCAGCGATTTACGGCAGTCTGCTGTTCAGCAACATTTTTCTGCCGGCTCTAGTCATAAGGTGAGTCTTAAATAACCGACCGTAGTTATGCAAAAATGATCCAACTCACATGAAGTCAATTTCAAGAAAAATAAAGATAAAAATATGATATACGATTGAAAAAGTGTAGATAACATTGGTTTTTCGCAATTGTTCGAGAAGTTTAATTGTTCAATTTTCTGCTCTTTAAGGGTATTCATTGATAAACTTAAGCCTTAAAAGTAGATAAAAAGGATGCAATCAGTAAAAAATGGCATAAAAAGTAAATTAGAAAATAAAAACTTTTAATTTCAGGCAGCTGTAAGGCTTCAATCTTTTTTATTTTATGTAGAAAAACGCATGCATTATTCATTGATAAAAACAGAAATTTAAAAATCATAATTTTGTAGGTTCGATCATTTTTACATAACTATGATCAATTTTCTCCCGCATACATCCTGTGCTATTTGTACGTCACTCCTGGTGTGCTCTCGCATAATGGATCGAATACATCAGGAACCAGATGCTTTGACTCGTCGCGATAGTGACGATAGCGGCTATATTTTGACTCCGGTCGTGATCGCCGGTGATAAATGTTCCATGCTAAACGGACGAAACGAAGATCCGTCGTTAAATCTGATAAACACGTCGCCGTCGCGCACGGTTATTGCGACAGAAAAACGAATAAAAAAATCCGCCGGAAAATTATGCGGCGTATCGTTCGTGACGAGAAGAGCCTTGGATCACCATGGACGCTGGAAATGCTCAATGTGTTTCCCGTGTATGTGAAACATATAGGCGACCAGTTCCGTGCACAGTCCCACAGCACTAAACTTTATTACGCCTTGTCGCTTTCACCTTGGCCTAGTATCGCAAACCCCGCAGGTTTCAACATTTGCCAAGAGCAAAATGAACGTGCTTCAACGCATCTATGTGCATCTTTCTCTAAAACGGTGCATCTTTCTCAGCATGAACCTAAAATGAGAACGGAAAGCCTTTAGTATGCTATTCTATTTAATAATCCTCGCTTATCCGTAGACTTGTATATAATAATATCTGGCCTATGTGAGTCTACACTTATGTGATTTAAAAATACGCATCTCTCTATTTGTTACAAAATATTTATTCATTTACTATAAAATATTTGGTATTATTTAGCTATAATCGTGAAAAAATTATAGTTAAAAGAACGATTTTTATAAGTGTTGCTACAATGTTAGTGAAAGTAATCTTATATGCATATTACTACTATTACTTCTTATTAGGACAACAAAGAATATAGTTAGCGCCGAAAATAACTCCCTTTATAACTTTAGTAACATTAACCATCTTTTTTCTCCCAGTGCATTGTGTTATATACGTCCCACAGTAAGTTTAAAATTTTATTTTGCATTAATCTTGTCTAATTTACTTTTCTATATGTAACAACATATATAAATATATATATATATATATGAAATTACTTAGAAAAAAATGTAAAACTGAAAGAGTTAAGCGATACATTCCCTAAAAAAAAAAGTCACTGATTCAGGTTTAAGCAAACTCAATGGGCGAAGTGTATTCCTTTAATTCACATCTATGTGATACTGTTGCAGTTGGTTGGGCTGCAAGTGGACTATGTCGGTTTCCATATTGGCTTATATGCCTTTCATAGTGTCCCAATTTTATCCGAAATTTTATACGATGATCCCCGCTGGACTGTCCGTCGGGTTGGGCGGAGGACCGCTTTGGTGCGCAAAATGCACTTACTTGACCGTAGCGGCGGAGGCCTACTCGACCATCTCGGATGTGGCCGCGGATGTTCTCGTCACGAGATTTTTCGGCCTCTTCTTTATGTTCTATCAAATGGCACAGGTGTGGGGGAATCTTATATCTTCAGCGGGTAAGTTTCCGCACCGCTCGCGGTATATACATCTTCACACCATCGTGGGTGTATTTCAGCTAAGTTTATATCTCATATGTATATTGCTTGTATTCGCTGGAGCGTGAACGATATCTGCTTCCCGTAGTAGTCTACCAATTTGATGACGTATTGTGGTCTGGTGGCGCAACGATGATGCAAGCATTAATTAATAATCGCTGCTATGCCTCGAGGCGTATGTAAAATGGAAACGTTACGGTTGCACGCAAACCGCCTCGAAATTTTATTACCATTGTGCACTGAAAAAAACATTTGGTAACATTTGGTAATAATCGCATATAGAGAAATAATTACTATAAATTACGGTCAAGTAAGAAAGAGGGAGAAAATTATTTTTTATGCAATTTTGATAGTAATATAAGATGTTAGTAATATAATAACCTTATATATATGTTACTGTCACCAGTTTCGTGTTGAATCAATCAAAAAGTATGTTTGGGATCAAAAGTAACTATAATTTTAATTAAATTAACCATATTTTTCTTCCAATATGCAAACATACCTCGGATATTAAGTTATAATTCAATGTATCCATTACCCTTTATGTAACGTGATTACACAAGTATATGTAGCTGTTTCAACGCGAAACACGAAACAAAATTAATTAATTCTCTACGCTATGATTACATACTGCCGTTAATCGACGCAATATATAATATAATAACGCTGTTGCCACACGAAAGATGAGCTTTTTATAAACTTTTTTACTGCCATAAAAGCTTCATTTTCCTTTGTTCATTTTTATTTTTTTTTTAATAAAACGCTGTAATTACTTGACCGTCAGAGTTTTAAGACTTTATGGAAATATCGCGGTTCTACAAAATGCTTATGCAATGTATGATCTATTCGGCTCTCATATATGCGTGGAAGCGCATATGAATGCACATAGCTGTTGAGCTATAAAACACGCGAACGCCAATGAAAGCGAATTTTCAGATGTCGACGTCGCATTTAGAAAATTAGAATAATGGACACGCTAGGGATTGGTCGAGCATTCTAATGGTCATATTTCGTTCTACTTAAATATACAAATGTGCTTACTTACAACAGAAGAATCACCGGCATAACAATCGATAGCATTCACTGCATCCTTACGATGTGTCATTATCATTCATAGTCTTTCAACGCGGCCATTAAAAAAGTTCCGTGACAAGTGAATCATCTGCAAAAATAACTTCGGTGTTATTAGTAATTAGTAATTTTTATTTTATGTTTATTGTATTTCTTTTCTTTCTTATCATCGTAGTTCTTTCTTATGGCGTCGACACAGTCACCACGAATATGACTTTAAATAGTAGCATCGTGGCGGAAAATTGCGGCGCAAATTTTTGCGGAGTGTCTGGCATGAAGAACACAAATTTACAGTCACCGCCGGTGGAAAGAATACATCTGATCTCCGGGATTTATTTAGCTTGCATGATATTAGCCTGCCTGATAATAGCGTTTGGCGTAGATTCTTTGTCCAGGTATGATCACAATCCAACACTCTGATCACCTTCCGAAAATACACGCAAAAAAATGACTTAGTAATATCAGCTAAATCGCGGTAGCTGATTCAAATTTAGTCAAAAGGCTAATCGTTTAGCGGTCACTGCTAAGAATTGGCTATGACAGCTAAAATGCATTCACTATAAAATACAAATATATTAGGTGACATTGAAAAATGCATATTATTTTAAGTAGCTAAGAAAATAGCAGTTATTCCTAAATTTCTTATCGTGTACATGTATTAAAGAAGTTTGCCGCACAGATACAATCATTTGTTTCTAACAGCTAATATTTCTCGCTGTAGCGCCTAAGTTTAAACAACGAATAAATTTAGCTTTGGTAGTATCGACATTAGCTGTCCCTATTTCAGTGACACATCTTATCTGCCACAGCTAATTTTTAGCTCTGAAAGCTAGTTTTTTTTGCGTGTATCGAAACGTCATGTTTGCGCAACGAGAATTATGTGATACGTTGCGTAGAAGTTTCGCTTATGATGGAATATCTGCTTTGTAGATACGATAGGAACAGAGCCCGATCGGTGAAAGGCACGTCTGGATTCAAACTACTGGCCGTGACATTAAAGTTATTGAAAGAGAAAAGCCAACTGTTGATATTGCCGATAACGATGTTTATCGGTGCCGAACAGGCCTTTTTATTCGCCGATTACAATGCGGTAAGCGACCCACATACATATCTGTCAGGAAAAAAGAAAAAAATCTTAAAATAAAATTCTTATTTATTCTCTAAATTTCTTAGTATAAAATTTCACACGGAACGAGGCAAAATTTACTCGAAACAATAATATAAGTATTATATGTAATAAAAATACTGTCAAAATGTAGGTACAGGAATTAATATTTAACTTAGATATTATATTCATTTGACAAATTGCAGAGTGAATAGTTCAAGCTGCAAAATATTCTCCGGAGAATACATTTTGTGAAAAATTAAGCGAATGGTTTGCTTATTACTCTACTTTTCGAGTGGAAATCCACTCGAAGGAATTTAAAGAGTACATCAGAAATGGGAAAGTTTTTGCCATATAATGAACGATAATATTGTCTATTCATTACAGTCGTTTGTCTCCTGCGCTTGGGGAATTAGTAAAATCGGTTACGTGATGATATGTTTCGGCGTGACGAATGCCATAGCCGCACTCGCCACGGGATCCATCATGAAGTTGACCGGGAGAAAGCCCGTGATGATCTTCGCGTTTTGTTTGCACTTGAGCATCTTGATCTTTATGTTACGATGGAAACCGACGCCCGAGCAAGGTGTCATCTTCTTCCTGCTATCCGGTTTATGGGGTGTGTGCGACTCGATTTGGCTGGTGCAAGTAAATGGTAAGTTGAATTACGCTTGACGAAAGACGGTTCGTTACATTCAGATAATTGTGTTACCACACATGTGATCCTAGGTATAAGACGCGGTATCTTCCTACTTTTACTCTTCGTTGCTAATCGTTACAAAGTGTCACTGTGCGATAACTCAACTGTCGAGTTTCCTGATTTATCCACCGCGTATAAGATCATATCGACGGATGTATAAGTTGCGATCCGGTTAATAGCCAATAAGCAGTTGTATACCAACAAGCCGTATGCCAACAAGCAGTATAACAATTTCTATAAACTCTAGTAACTTAAAAAAAGACGCTAAATTAGTGAATAAATTTGCTACGATAGGATATTTGAAAATTTTGCTTAAAATTTTCAGCCTTGAGCGGCATTTTATTTCCCGGTCAAGAAGAAGCAGCTTTCTCCAACTTCCGCTTGTGGGAATCCACTGGTTCTGTGATAACGTACATTTATAGTCCATATCTGTGTACTTGTATAAAGTTGTACCTTTTGATCGGGATACTGTGTGTCGGAATGGCTGGTTACGGCGTTATCGAGTGGTCAGGTAAAGTGGACAGAGACATTTCCAGCAAGGGGCCCGAGTTTGAATTGGTGACTGATAATGAAATCAACCGATAAAGTATGAAAGCAGATTTTAGTTTAGTTTTGATACTCCTTTCGACAGAATCGTATAAGATTCTTCGGAATCTTTGTCTTTTGATATCGTATTGTCTTTTGAAATGTGCCAAAGTAAGAAATTCTTACAAGTATATGTTGAATAACTACATTTTCAAAATCACAACGTTTCTTACTTATTATTTGCTTAGCATTAATACTGCCGTTAATAGGACCCGACTATGAGAGAAATAATGCATAATTCGCATGGTGTAGTTTAAATATTTGAATTTATTAGAACGAGAAGAAAGTACCTTTGAACTGAATCAAAACTATTACTAGAGCGATATTCGAGAAAAAATCTCTATAGCTGTTGCTGTAACAAATTAAATACATTCACTAACAGTCGCTTTTCATGTGTACGTTATTGCGAAGAGTAACACATAGTAGTTGCTCGAGAAAGCGCATGATTTCGTAAATCGCGAAGAATCGTAACACATATACGACTTTTTGTTATTTGTACCACAATATATGTTTTTATTTTATTCTTGTGGACACCTACTAAATTTTACACAGGTATTCGCTTAACGGCTAAAATTCTTGTCCTTCATTTAAATACGTAATTTAATGTTACATCGTGTGTGCCTAGGTGCTAACATTCAAGCTAAAGCTACGGCTGCTTAGTTTAGTTGTATACTTATGTGCTTAATTGCCGACTGTGTGCTTATTTCGTTTGCCATGATCAATTGATTCCCGTCTTCGACGAAGGCAGCTTACCGAGTTGTACGATTCTCTCTTTCCGTGAATGAGGTGTGATCGATGTTCTCCGACAGTGGCAACGTCGAATCAATTGATCGGCTAGTCGTATTTTAGCGTCGTTAAATTGCTGATTGTATCGTGGTTATTATTAGTTTAACTTTGCGGTCCATCGCGTATTTACAATTCAAATTCTGCAGTTCAGTTATATACTTTATAAAACGTAGTAGGAACTTTGGTTTCGCTGGGCAATGTTTCAGGAGCAGTTTCCTCTTATTAATTCGTGACTTTATTTCGTGACACCGCACGAGCTTTTGTCCGGATGTGCTTACTTCTTCTTCTTCTTTTTCTTCTTCGTTTTCTTCTTTGTCTTCTCCTTTTTTTATTATCCACGGTTACGAGTAAACTATCCGTTGTTATCATGTGGACTATTTTTTTTAATCGACGCAAATTACCGGATAAAACAAGCGATTTAGCGATTCTGGAAACTGCTATAAAACATTCGCCCGTGGATCTATCTTCCTTAGAAATATGACACTCACGAATACAATTCACATGTTTTTTTTTTGTAATACTCATGTTTATATTTTCATAAGGATCTATTTGAATATTTCAATTTCACGAAGAAAATACAGATGGTTCTTAAAACCGTCTCCGCGTTTTTATTTTTATCACCACCGCGCGTCATTCCAGACGCTCTACTGTTTATTCTTTTTCTCTTTCTCTCTCTCTTTCTTTCTCTTTCTCTCGCTCTCTTTCGCTCTCACTCTCTTTCTCTCTTTCTTTCTTTCTCACTCACTCTCTTTCTTTCTTTCTCTCGTTCGCTCGCTCTCTCATATAACAAAATTTAATAACCGGAATATTTCTCTATACAAACGTTTTTTCGCTCTTTTATCAAAAAGGATAACATATACATCCCTCTCCCGTCCCTTAATAAAAATTTTGAATTTTGAATTTTACTCCGTCGTACATCTTTCATCCAACTCCATCCGCGCCTTTCACCCTTTCGTTTACTCCTATAATACAACTTTTTAGGAACAGATCACTTTGCTCGTCTCAAGCTTAAAAGTAAAACCTTAAAATACTTTATTTACTTTTAGAAATTTATTATTTCTTTAACCATGTAAATATTATTTTGCATGAATTTAGCTATTTTATAGCTATAATAATAAAAGTTAATTATAATATTACAATGCCTAAGTGTATCGTATTATATACAGGCTAATCTTTACGCCCTAGCTACGCGTCCAGTTAGAGATTTCGCGATAGTATCGTAGCGAGTAGCCCCCGTTATAAAGAGGATGAAGTACATTTTATGCACAATCTTACTCATTAAACGTATTCGTCTGCTAGATATTAAGAAAACCGTACTTTATGGGCTTCGTTTGAATACCGTCTTATGCGGGAAAAACGACTGCGGATCGCGTCTCGCTAAATTACCACGCCAACGTAAATGTGTTTGTGCGTTGGTAACGCATGCAAATCAATCATCTAGAACTGTCGCTATAGTGGGGAGACTTTACATGGCCGCGTTTATACGTTTATTTACGATGATAATCGATTCTTTAAAAAGGGGAACACGATGAGAAGCGTAAATAATAATTCTTCGATTTCAAGATCACGCGTCTGCAATTAGCTCCCATCGTGTACAACTACGCTCGAAAGAATACGCGTATAGAATCGTCCGAAATCTCGGTACTTCTGTTCTCTCTCTTTCCTTCTTTCTATTTCTTTTTTGCACGACTATAAGTACACCTCGTTGAAAATGAAAATAGGAATTAGGCGACGTGCGCGCGCGCACACGTATATACATACATACATACACAGATACATACATATACATACACACGCACGCATACACACGCGCGCACACACTCACGTAAACACACACACAGAAGCATATTCCACAATCGAAGAATTATGTTGTCGAATATCCCGCAGATCGGAGTCGAGCTCTGGTAAGGTCGAAGTTTTCGTCCGAACTTCAGCGTTATTCAGCGAACAAGCAGATCGCATTAATATGTATAGGAACGGAGGATGCGTGCTCATTTAACACGTATATGTCTTACATGGCAGATTATTACGGACTAGTTTTGCAGAAATTCGAATCCCACGTCTGTCTCCTATAACCTCCTTTTTCCTACAAGATTAAATACAACTTCAGGAGCGTAGGTAGTGTGGCATGTGGTACATAATCGTTCATAGCATACTTTCAAAGACGTTATTGCGTTATTTAGTCACTAAAGGAATTTCATTGATCTCTAGATACACGTGTAATTTACAATATCTCTCGCGCGCGCGCTAAAAACTCCCGACTAACTTGCCCTTTCGTTTCTTCTTCTTCTTCTCTGTCTGCCGAAACCCTATGACAGAAATATTATCGTGCTCGTTCTCTCTAATCGTGTTTATACATGCAGGAAATGATATTACACAATCGGTACAGACGTTGATTCTTTTTATCTTTTTTTTATTTAAGCAATGCTTCTTTTATTACTTTTTTTTTGCGCAACTTAACGAGCAACAACGATATTTCAGAATCTTCACGATCAGACTTAGGCCAGTGTTCATAATACGATCTTATGTTTGAGATCGTCTCATCTTTATCTTACGTTCCGAAATAATCCACACAGCATCTGAAAAGATGAACCCAAGACTATCTTGAATATAAGATCGGGCTATGAATAGTGTCCTTAGTCGCGGTTCTTTGCCGCGCGCGAAACATTGCCGCCCTTCGAGTGTTTCGATTTTGAATGTATTTCTTTAGTTATTACGCCAGTTGATTATGTATCGATTGCACCTAGCTGCTGCTCGCGTCGCGGAACGCTCGCGTTCCGCCTTACTACTTCGTTTTGCTCTCATAAGTTACGTTTCGTTTTGTGAAAAGACAGTGGAATTTCTATGAATCATTATTATCTGTGCGCGACGATCTCTCAATAGTATCTCTCCGCCCGGTTTCGATAGATCGTGCTACGATAGACGTACGTATCCCGACGAGTTGTCCGCGCGCGATCGAGCAACTGCAATGAATTAGAAAAGTCTGGAAGCGGTTCTTCTGTCGTTGAATGATAAACGGTGCCGCGGTAATCTCGGTCGTCGAGGTATTTACGTCCGTCGATTCGTTGATGCTTACCAATTGTCGATAACTGCCTCGCTCGAAACTCGAAATTGGATCAGCTAGTCAGTGCTCTCCGATAGATGTATATCTATGAAAATTGGAAGCGCGCGACAAATTGGTACCAAATGAGAGAGACAACGATTTTAGATTATCAGTTCTCGATATTCGACTCATGTGTACATCACATACTCGTAGATTAAAGCTATTTACATATAGATCTCGTATACACCTGCGATCACAATATTCGAAGGACTTCGCTCACGCGACCCGGAACGATCCCCCCGTGCCGGCTCGATAATAATAATTCGATGAATCTCTCACACCGAGAGATACAAAACGCTTTCTCTCTTTCTCATTACGCAACAATGCACGGAAGTATCGCTCTCGTGCGCGATCCTGCTCGTTTTATCCTGCGCGAAGAGATGCGAGAATTCGGAAAGCTTCATGAGACGCGCTCCTCCTCGTCGTCCGTGCCTTGAGGTTTTTCTCATATGTTGCTAGTCTGATCGGCGGGTGTACTTTTTCCCTATACAACCCCCTTAGACATCATTCTCACGGTGTTCTTCAGAGCTTGTCTCTTGTTGCAGAACCAGATCCTTATCACCTCCCTGTCGTATCCCAGCCGATGCGCCAGGGTCGTGATCTCATTGCCTGCAAAGGAAAAGAGAAAAATTCTAATGCGTTCATGCGAGTTCTAAACTCGAGGAGACATTAATAAAAAGGACCGACGAAGCGCCGAAGGTACTAATGTAACGGCGAAACTGACCGGTAGGATGTGTGTTCCTGTCAAAGTGTGCGTTCAGCAATTCTAAAGCCTGCGGCGTGAAGGAGGTCCGCCGTTTTCGCTTCTTGCTCGGCTCGACTCCGATGAAGTCCGTCAGATGATTAACGCCGCTCTTATACCTGTAATCACATGCACTACTCTTGGTCAAATTCGGAAGGTTGCATCATCGTCGACGTTTACGTAACGTTACGCCATATGCGTTAACTTTCGTGAGAAAGTACATACGTTCTCGTTTGCGATTACAGCCGCGAAATAGGATCCCGTTTAAAAAGTCCGGCCGGTTAATCGCCGTGCTTTCGCAATAATTAATTACGTCCGCCAGTTCTCTACATTGAATTCGACGTTTCCGTCTATCTTTCTCTCCCCGCTTGCGTCTCTCTCTCTCTCTCTCTCTCTCCCCCCTCCCTCCCTCTCCTCCTTTCTCTCTTTTGCGGTTTGCGAAATATTGTTATAAATCCAATATGGAAAAAAATAATTCTGTTTACCGTTTTGCACGTTCGTAATTACGTTAGCGCGAAATAGGATACTGATTAAAAAAGGAAATCGTCGGCCGGCGTCACGATACTCGTGCTCGGACACGTTCGGTCGCAAATATCCTGTACGGTATTGGATTTTTCCCTGTATATACACACATCTGGTTGATTCACGAGTGCAACTTACTCCGCGCATCGCGAAACACCGCTCGCAGCGGCCGGAGACGACAACGGCGACGACGACAGCGATAGAATCAATGTCGGCGTTGACTAAAATAAAATTAGCGATCGAATAGTCGTCACGTGCTTTCCAATTTATTTCATTCATTAATCTGCAAACCGGTTATACTTTGGATAATTTTGGACTCGTGGTCAGAAACGTCGACTGTGTATGCGTACGTGCGCACACTTTTTTCGGAAATTGTTAAGCATAAAATAGTCGTAACAGTCTTTTCGATCTTGCAACATTTTTAGCATTTTCGGTGTTGTCGAGTAAATTAATACAGGACTTTATAGGAAAATACGTTACTTCTTAAGTAATAATATCAGCATACTTAATAATACATTTTCGACAGCTAATTAACACATTACTACCAAAATTTATTTATTTGACTCTTCTCACAGTTATTTTGTTTTTTTTTCTATGTAATCGTGTAAAACAAACTTATTTTGATAATGTAAACATAAAAAAATAAATAAGTAAAAAAAATCAAACGTAAATTATAAGTTACGAGAATTTTCCTTTAACTTTCAAACTTTAAAATTGAAAAAAATCTGTTGAAGCTTTGAGAAAAAATCATTAAAAAATAAGTCAATAAAAGTCAAACGCAGATTATAAGTTACAGAAACTTCGAAACTTTCAAACTTCAAATTGACTTTTGAAATTAAAAAAATTTTTATTTTTGAAAAGTTTTTGGGAAAAAATTTTAAAGTTAACTTTTAATGAAAGTCTTTCAAAACTTATGATCCTGTAACAATTTATAACAACTTATAACGATTTATAATTTACGTTTGGCTTTTACTCTGTGCCATTTATTTTATGATTACATGTCAACGAACTTTATTTAATCATTGAATTTATAGAAAAAGAAATGTTTTATCGTCACATATGCGTAGCGAATGTGTTAAATAAACATACGTCACTTTGAGGATTTTTTAATTCGGATAACTAATGAACTCTTTATTGAAATATTATCTGCTGTCTTACATTTGCCCGACAGCCTCGATGCCATCGTTAGATCTCTACTTCTAGCAACCGGACAAATAAGCCGAAAGAAATTCAGCGCGTTCTTCCATACTGGGAAAGAGAGACCCGACCTCGAGAGCGGGCAAACTTTTTCGGCGTTATGCGACTACTCGGCGTAATTTCATTTGACGGATAGTATTTATCGGATAGTGCGGCGCGGTGCGACATGGAAAAAGCTCGCGGCCGCGACAGTAAACAGGAGAACTTCCGTTGGGACTCGCGGGTGAGCGATGAGAGGCGACTCGCTCGGGGTGGCTGCCGCGGGGGTGCGACGGGCTCGATGGTGTGGTGCTCACTCGTAGGTAGGTACGGGTCGCGGGTACCGGCTCAAAATTTATGTTTTTAATTTAACTCCAAATGACCAACTGTCGAGTCGACCGAAAAAAGTACACGGCAGGCCATTAGCATCGCGCGGTAATATTTCGTCGAATTCGCGAAAACAATATGCTAATGGAGAAGTCGGTGAGAGCGCGAAGAACCGACGCGACGATTCGACGGGGTTGGTTGGGGATTGCCGTTTGGCTGTTGGTATGTGTGCGGTGACTGGCGAGCGCAAGAGGGAAACGCAAGGAGAGGTAGGTAGAAGCGGAAGGAGGAAGGGGGCAGCTAAGAAAGAGAGGAGAAACGAATGCGAGTTAATACGTAAGGGTATGCGACTGCGGGACGGAGAAGCTGCGTGTAAGCTCGTACGTGGGTGTATACGGTGTAGTGTTGTGTGTTGCGTTACAGGTGTGGGCAAGGGAGACGTGCGGTGAGATTCGAACGAGAGGTAGAAGAAAGACGGAAGCAGAAGAACGATAGAAACGCGCAGGAGAGAAGGAAGGTAGAGAGGCAGGCAGTGAGTGGAAGGAATGACAGAGAGGGTCGTGCCGTTCCGCAGTGCCGCCGCCGGTAAGAGCGAGGTGACGGCGGTGGTGTGGCAAGAGGAGAAGGCAGAGGAGAAGGAAGAGGAGGAGAAGGAGGAGGAGGAGGTGGTGGTGGAGATGGAGGAGGAGAGATGCGCGAGCGAGCGAGCGAGCGAGCGAGCGCGCGCGCGGGAGGAGAGGTACATCAGAAACCTGATTTTAATTAGTCCACAGTTTAATTACTCGGCAGATAAATCGTGCACGTGCACCGCATAAACTAGCCGCTTTCATTTTTCCCGGACGCGGCCGGCGCACGGTCGACGCTTAGTTCTACGCCGCGCGAATGCAGGATGGGTCATTGTTGCCGGCTTCCCCCGTGAAAAGAGAAACGAGCGTGCCGCGCATCGTCGCCGCTTCCGTCATCGAATCATTCGATTGTGCCGTGTCGCACTTGCCCCGTTGACTCTTCCTCCTCCGTGGATTCAAGCGCGCGGATTATCACCGTTCTCCACGGACGATTACCGAGTCGCGCGCTTCCCTCTGTGCCGATAAACGTTTGCGGCCATTTCGCAGATTCTCCTCTTTCATTGAACGTTAAGCTTCATGTTGAAAAAAAATATGCCTTCCCACGGAATTTATCGTAGATTTCAACTTTTCCTGATTTTTGTGAAGAATGGCAAACACTCGATCTGTTAATTATTTTTCTCAATATTTGTTTTATCAGGACTGATGCATCTTAAAACTATATTGCCCATATTTCAAAACTAATGAAAATTTTGAAAAAAAATTTAAGATTAATATTTATACTGCATATATAAAAGTGATCACAAATAAGTTGACATTAATTCAAACTCTGAATCAAAAGTTATTCCACTTTAAAATGTAAGCAAATAAATATGATGATGTCAAATGACATTTTAATGACACACTAATAACGTTTCTAACGTCAATAATACTGCATCGTACATATATACCATACCATTTTTATATGGAAGTTAAAAATATTGGTATGTTTCTAATGTTCTATAACTTTGCAAGAACTATATGGGCAATACACCTTTAACACATTTTGTTCGTATTATTTGCAATGGAAACAAATTGCTTGAAAAAAACTGGGACTAAGTATTTTTTCGATAATTGTTAAAACAGAAATTTTACAATGTAAATCTGCATACTTATATCTTGCGTTTACTCATCGCGCTAAACGCAATCGCTGGATTGTGTTTCGTTAGTTTCAGAACGGGAATCGTGTACAATGCTATCTCAGGCTGAGAATTATGCTGCTATATTTAGCGTTAAATGGGTAACTGAATGCTAGTTATAATATTTAGTGTCTCTCTCTCTATCTCTCTTTCTCTCTTCCTCTCTCCTCTCTCGCGCACGCGCGCACAACGCAAGGATTGCACGCTAATTAAGCAATAATGATACCGATAGAGATCAGCGCGCCACAAACGACGATAGCGCGCCGTCTAACTGATAAATTTAATTTAACATCGGGAAAGTGTCTGCGTTATAAAAGCGCATCAGCATTTCATTTTTACGACATCAAAACCGTATCGCCAAATCCGTTTTAATCGCAACATAGCCGCAGGATTCTGATTAGCTCGTGGTGCAAGGTTCATTAGATTTTATCAGCTCGTAAAATTTGCACCTCGCGAATACGTTAGCGTGAGGCTCAAGATTTTCGGAGAAGATCGGGGAAAGGCAAAGCGAGACAAGGCAACGAGACGAAATGACGACGACGATGACAGGACGATCGGTAGATCCTCCACGACGCACATGCGAAGTCATCGTCGGCGGCCGTATTGGCGCGGCGCGGCGCGATCGCGCTCGCGCGCGGTAACGGTTTCTCTCCCATTCTAATTAACATTCCGCGTATTTATTAGACGCGGATCCGCAATTAATCAGGCGGATTCAATTAGCGAATTGCCAATTAGCACGCACGCGTTCGCACGCTCTCGGGCCCGACACCGCGAACGCGAAGTCGAGACCGAGCGCGTCGAGGCCGATTGCGAAATAATCGTGTATCAGAAATACGGCGTTAGGATTCGACGCGTAATCGAGGGACTCGGACGAGGGGGAATTCCAGTCGTTTCTCAAATTAATTGCAGCATGTTTATACGTACGTGGCGCGTCACGGAGAATGTTACGCTCATGATATACTTTCGGTGTAAGCGCGCAAATCGAATGCGCGCATCCGTTTTCAAAAATATCTTCCCACGGTGTTTATCGTAAATTTCACTCTTTTCTTCCCGATCTTTAGAAGAGATTACATATACTCGAGCTGCTACTTTCGATATTTGTGTCGTTCATCAAGACCAACATAGGGGAGACCAGAGCTAGTTGAGCCGAAGGTCAAATTTAACTATGTGCTTTATTTATGTATTTATCGTGTGAGGAACAGTAGAAATACACAAAATATTTTTTTTCAGAATATAGGCACTTTTCCCTAAGTTTCATTAAAATCGAGATGATATTACAGTTAAAAAGTGAAAAAAAAAAAAATGAATCAGGGGGGTACGTTTACGATTTTCAACATTCTTCATCACGAGTGAATAAACTTAGATAACGTGTTATAAATTAGAACGAAACTTCCTGCAAGTGTATGATACATTCTATTCCGGGTAAAAAAAGCAATTATCATTCATAAAATGATTGAATTCAGGTATATAGGTGGACAAGATAAAATTTGCCCTTATTAAAGGATCGGCATAAGATTATATGTAGAATTCGCGGAGATTCTCAAATTACTAATCAGGATATATATTTTACATGTGGCCAACTTATCCCGAGTTGCTAGCCAACTTGCTCCGACCACAGGACAAGTTGGTCATGTTGCAATATGTTCGTATTTTGGTTATTACAGGACAAAATATATTTACGGGATCGTTGAAAATAAATGATAAAAATAGAAGAAAGTTAGCCCCATCATATTTGTACAATCAATCATAACAATTAATTGACTGACAAGTTGTAACTCTGAAATTCTGAAAAATGTAATATCTCGTCCCGGTCTCCCCTATTTTAAAACACTATATTCATGTTATTTGCGGTGATAACAGAGTCATCCTTCTTTTTGAAAAAAAATGCATTTTTTATTATCTCTTTGATAAAAGTCGTAAGGGTATTACTCACCTCTCTTCCGCCTCCTTCATCCACCTCTCGAGAACGGGCTTAATTTTCTGCGCGCTTTTCGGCGTAATGTCCAGCTTTTCGAATCTAAAGTCAAGAACAGGGCTTGATCTAGTTTTCTATTTTTCTTATCTCAAGATAGATTGATAAAGACGACGTAGGGAAACGAATGTCGAGTGAAGGTGACAAGGACGTAAAATAGATGAAGTACCCAGTCTCAAGTGTTGACACGCAATGTGTCAGGGTACTTCGAAATTGGAAAGAGTACGTTCGAAATGTTCTCTTCGAATGTTTACTCTTCGCCCTTACGTCTTTGTCCCACTATATTAAAGGAGCACTAAGGCATGCATTGATTCAATAACAGGACATTGACAATGCGTGCATGCTTTAAGGTTTGGTGATGCCGTGTATGATGTTGCCAACGCACTGCGCGAGCGCTCTATCGCGCGGACGAGCAAGATGAGAGCACGCGAATTCGAGTTTCGCGACGATCATGATCGCAATCCCGAAGCTTGGACTCGAGAGCTTGGACCAGCGTGCATTAAAATCGCGCGTGTTCGACTGCGTTCCATCTTTTTTTTTTTATTCTTAGCGCGTTGGCGACATCATGCCCAAGTTTGCCAATGCCCTGGCTCGAAGAAAGTTATTTTTACAAGTGCTCCTTTCGCATCTCTTTTCCGAACGAAATTAGAAATTAGTGAGAGTGCTTGCAGCTATACCCAAATATACACGTCGGTTCTAAACGAGAGAGGGGATCGATTTACAAATCGGACGAGCGCAAAGTGGACGGGTAGGAGGAAGAAGAGGATATATTAGGATATATTATCGATAGACTCGGATCGTCCATCTTATTTTTGTACAAAGCGTAATTCGCCAATTCTACAAATACCGATTGTTTTGATTCTATCTTTCTTTTTTTCTTTTCTTAAGGATCCTTCTCTCACGACCGCCGAGAAGTTCGCGCTCGATTTTCCATCGTTGGGTATAACTGCGGTTTCTTAGAGGATTTTAGAGTTTTAGATTTTTAGGTGAATTAAGTAGCATGAGGGGTGTGAACGTACGTAGCTTGCTGCTGAGAGGCAATCTGCGAGGCAGCGTACATCTGGGTAGCCAGGGCACTGGGGAACAATCACCAATGCTTATGTTAGTCGATACGATAAGAATTCTAAGAGGTATAAACATTTTCTCGGTTTGCTACCAGTATTACCACGGTGGTTCCCACTCGCGCCTCGAAGACACACTCGATCGGAGGCAACGAATCATAAGATAGCGCGGCACTTTGGAAATCCCATATCGAGGAAGTGGTTAGCTTTTTGTACGTAATAATTAACGAGCGCGAGAAAAATTTCCGTGAATGCGCGACTGAATGGTTTCCCTATATTCGCGACTTATTATATTGGAGAAACAAAGTTTGGATTTAATATACATTGCATAAATCAGGAACCATCGTGGTGGATTGCGGTATAAATATAAGTTCATTCTATAATATTTCAAGACAAAATGATAAAACGCGCCTGTGGAAGCTACGTCGGAACTTCTCGAGACCTTGAGCGAATTCATTGCAAAACGTCGACTAATGACACGTGGTAAGGTAATTTTGCTGATCACACTCGATCGTCACGCGAAGAAGAAACAGGAGCGTAAGACTGCTTCGAAATTTTCTTGCGAGCCTTATCGTACAACGAGTGTCGTTATTGATTGTCGTCCCTAACAGAAAGTGCTCTTGCGAAACCATCGAGTACGAGTAACCATAGTTTTTGCTACTCCGAGACAAAATCCCAACCCTTTCTACGCCATTTCCAGTGACCTGGCACACTGTCGTTTTACACTCTACCATATTATTGAATTCTCATTAGCGACGTCCGTTTGCGCGAGGTGGACGAACGGACGTAGCGAGAACTAACCTGCATATGGCACTTTGGCTGTACGCGGGCCCCTCGGTGACACTCAGGGCCTGCCCAACTTGGGTCTGCGTCAGGCCCAGAGACAGTCTGCGTAATTTAAACACCTTGGCGAACTCCTTGATCTCATCCAAATTGATCCCATCGACCACGTTGTTAGTGGCCTCATTAATCGTTGGCTGGTCTGTAAAGGAAACTCATGCTGTGTCCTGTGTCTCTTTTCATTTGCAACAAATTAAAAAAAGAAATGAATAAATGAAACAAAAAGTGACTAGTTTCCGAGAAAATTTTAATAAATATAAGCTTTGAAGTCAAGTTAAAATTAGCACAAATATTTTCGCGCTATATTTTTCAGAATTCTTCCAAGTCACAAGACTCTTACTTGGTTCATTTTTAGCCAAAATATAAGCGACAACATGCAAAATAATTCAGAAGAATATTACGCGCGAACATCTGCCGGTTTGTATCGACTTTGAAAGTCTATATTTATTAAAAAAGGAAAAAACAATTTCTTAAATCATTTCTATTTATCGACATCAACGCTAACGCCGATATTAGAATTACTCTCGCGTGGCAAATTCAGTCTAGTTGCTCGGTGGAATACATTCGACGAATTACACGCAATTACACGAATCGCGAGCTGGCTGCGGAAACGATACCACACCGCTCGTGAACGAGAGATGAAGTATTTGTGGTTCAAAGGGTTAATGCGATAAGCAGCGCCGTCGCATCTCCGTGATTAGTTTTCTAGAGACTCTAATAGTGCATTTTAAGCAAGGATCCATTGCTGGTCATTTGGCAGTTCCAATCGATTCGTCGGAACGCACGAAAGCTCCGGCGAGAAGGCCACATAATGACATCAAGCGGTTTCGTTAAAGTAGCTCGAGCTACACCGATTTCTCTCGTAAATCTGTCACCCCGAATGTATACCCACGCAATAGCAGTGCCCACATATACTTTGCGCAATCTCGACCAGTTCGCCTGGTTTCTACAGTGCGCAATAAACTGCAAATACTTCTTCCGCGATGCTATTTCTACAATCATTCATTTTCAATCACGAGACTTTAAATTCTTCGCGCGCACGCGTGCGCCTCGAACGAAAAGCTGTGAACGCATTACAAGATCTTTGTCGTCGACACCAGCGAAGTAACATTATAGACTGTTGTATTGAGGGATTTAGCACAAGTGAAAACTTCGTTATTTAATATATAAAGTTCTGTCGACAAATTTGTGTAAAATCAGAGTTGTATCGAAGATTTCAAGATTACGTCTACGCGAATTATTTACGTATTTCCTACGTGATGTATACACGGTCGTTGTATACATGTAAACAATGTAAATTATGTAGAATATTGCAAATTATATTAAAATATACAAAAATGAATAATTAAATTATGAGACAGTCACAGTATCTGTTTTGATATTAATCATAATGTAACGTTTAAAAAAGATAACAAATTGCATGAAATTTTCATTCCATTATGTGACAGATTTAACTCTGAAGAGGTAAAAATGTTACCAGAGAATTCTGTGAACTTTAATTTATCGAAAAACAAATATTAAAAATATATAAAATATAAAAAAACATAAATTTACATCAGAATTTTAAAGTTGAAATAAAAATATAGACTTTTCTTAATTAATTTTAGAGCAACTCATACGTTCTTTGAATGACATAGATAATTCGTAGATTACTCTTTGTCCAAATAGATGACATGTCTGCACGTAGACACAGAATATCATAATTTATATGTAATCGCCTATGCATGTGTATAATTAACGTGGATAATAGCTGAAAGAACTGAAAATGAAGATGTATTTCACTGTAGACCTGTATGTATAACGATAAAACATCAAAATCGTTGTAAATGATAAAATTAATATTTTAACACGCACTGAATGCCCAGGCATTTATATGGAAAAATTAAAAATGATGGATAATGTCATCCTCCTTCAATTACAACCGAGCCCCTCGGGGCCTCTTTGCCTCTATGAAAATTTTCCCAGAGCTGACAGTCTTTAATAATACCTTGTCGATGCCGTGAAGTAAGTAAATGTGTGAGCATCGCGGCGTATTCGCGTTCAGTTCGCAAATTTCGAAGGACCACGGCTTTGACCGTGATTGCGGTTACCGGACTGGGCTAGCGAGTTTCGTGCGGATTCCAAGTTGCACGTTCCGAACAAATGAACCAACGAGACTTGTTCGGTTGGCCGGCGTTTATTCATGGACGGAAAAATTCATTCGAGATACATCGCCGTATTATTCGCGCGTTTGTTCTCGCATGCACAAAGTAAATGGAATACAAATCGCTGGGGCGCCATTTTTCTCCGTAATTGCGATTTTGCCTCCTGATCTCCGCGCGAGATCACCGAGATCCTATCGGAGACGGGTTAACAAAGGCAGATATTTATGAAGTAATGGTTCCAGCTGGCTCTGACAATTGAGAATCGTTAGGCCTCACGCGCCGGATGATTATTCCATCGCGACGGGATGACGGAGTGCCAGTCCGTCGCGCGATGATTGTGAATTATTAAAATTATTGTCGGCCAACTCGCGAGGTTACGCGCGCCGCTGGAATCTTTATGGCTTCCTAGAAGGCAGTAAGTAACGAACTAATGCCCCGTAATGAGCCCGGCGCTGTGCGATATCCTATTAGAGCTATCAAGCGCACACGCGCGCGATCGATGCGTTCGAAATGTTATTATATTTGCTGTCGGCTTTCGAGCGCGCGCGCGCGTTAAACATTAAATCGTCTCCTCCGCCGGGACGGACAATGGCGACAATTCGCTGGCATGTAGAGTGCCGTCGGAGAGAAATGGAAAGCCTGCCGTACTCATGCTCGTGCTGCGACCGGTGGAACGAGGCGCGCGTATTCTTTTTAATTAACGGAAGGGCACACGTTTGCGAATTCGCGGCCGTAATCGAGCGTCGCGATCGCGTCTTGTCAAAAATACCCGCAGAATACGACATGCGAGCCGGGCGTCGTAAGAGTAAAGGACACGCTTTTGCATGTGGTAATTGCTTCTTTAAAAGTGATCATTATGCATGCAATCACTTGTCGACTTCGTATAGGCAAGATAGATGATTGCGTTATAGGAAGACGGTGTCTCCCGCGAGAATTGTAATTAAAAGCTGTCAAGCAGTAAAACGCGGCTACCTTCGAGGAGCGCAGCTCGATTATCATTTTCGCACGGGCAAATGGGCATCGCTTTCAAGCGTTCCACCGTCACCGGCCACGATCGCGAGAACGAGACTACTTGACACGGGTCATTTGGACTCTCTCTCTCTCTCTCTCCTTCTCTCTTAGGAGTCCTAATGCATTCCGATCTCGTTGACTAATATCGCTACATGATAGAGGATAGATGAAATAAATAAAATGTATGTCTTACTCGGTGAATCATTCAAGAGATCATCCTCGTCCTCCTTCGGACTGTGCATACTGCTGGGGGAAGCCTTCACTCCGGCACCGCCAGGTCCATGCGTCGTCGTGATAGTAATCTCGCCATTACTGGCGGCCAATCTGTTCAAAGCAGATGCCGCGGACACTACGGATTCGTTCAAAGGCGACGACTGCTCCGGCCTCTCTCTGTGATGTTTTTCCGTCGACTGTGAACGATACAGTAAGCAAGGGGAGGGGAACGGATTAGTGGCTCACCGGGAAACGACAATGCTCCTGCTTCCACGCCAATTATGCACTTAATAATGAGACGGAATCTCGGACCGGGACACTTTAGAGTCTAATTAGTGGGAGGAATGCCGCTGGCGCGGAATACTTTCTTAACGAGATCGCTCGCTATCGGGAATTATTCGGGTTACTTCGCTGATCTCGCCGCGGTTTACGATCTCTCCGCCACGAAACCGCGACGCGGCGTGCCGCCCGAGCGCGTCTCGCACGATCCGATGCGGAAATCCGCGCCAGTGATTGCCGTCCGCGTTTAAAAAAAACACAGCAAGGATAACGCGCATCTCTTCACGACCTCGACGGAATTTTATTTGTCAGTTGGCTTGTGATCGAGGTAATCGCGACAAAAAGTGCACGTGTACAACAAATATATCGTGGCGGGTCGCTATCGGGACGAAATGCGAAATGCGTGCGGTTTCCATAACAATACAACAATATGCGTGTTATCACGGAAATACGAAGTTTATTGTAAAAGAAAAATATTGCTTTTTCAACAAATAGCGATATGTCTATCAATTTTGTGATAACACGGCACGAAAAATTCTACTATTGATGTTTTTGTGTTTGCGAAAACACGTAAAGTTACTTAATTACCCGAACGTGGAATAATGCGTGAAAGAAAATAACACGCAAATAAAAAAAAATATATATATATATATATATATATATATATATATATATATATATATATATATATATTTATTTCTTTGTCGTTAATGAAAAAAAATTTTTTTACGGATTCGTAAATGCTAAACTCACACGGATCGCTAGTAGTGTTATGCTTTGGAACACGCACACGCACACACGCACACACACACACACACACACACACACACACACAC